TTGGTCACGAAAAAGAAGAAAACGTATGTTGACTCGGGGCTTCGTTTTCGAGATAACTGAATCTGAAAATTGGTCGACGCGTCTGACCATTCATCGCTATTTCTACTTGGGCCGATCTTCGAGTCGTACTCTGTCGTCTCAATGACTTTTTAAAGTTGACTCTTTCTTCGAAAAAATGTTTTTCTATTTCCACTTGATAAACTAAATAAATAAATAATTGCCAAGCAGGTGTTTCCAAGTTCGAAGCATGAACAGTCATCGAGAGGCAGATAGAGAGAACTGAATTTGAAAATTGGTCGACGCGTCTGACCATTGATCGCTATTTCCACTTGGTTACGTCTTTCTATTTCCACTTGACTGTTTAAGCAGAGCAGCCAACTTCTGTAGAACCTATCATATTTCCTAAATTATCTCTCGAACGAACCGAAATAAATAAATAAATAATTGCCAAGCAGGTGTTTGCAAGTTCGAAGCGTGAATAGTGGTCGAGAGGCAGATAGAGGGACGCGTTTGGGGGTGAATTAAAATTCCGATAGCTCTTTCCCTTAATCCCGTTTTCATTTCAGCGTCGATGGTGCGGTTTCGAAGGGAAAGGGCGAGCGTTCCGCGAAATGTCTTCGGCTCGTTAGGGACTTAACGAGAAGAAACGCCTCCGGGAGGACGGTAAAGCGACGAAACGACGGTGGCGGTCGAAAAACCCGAGTAGAGAGAGGATAAAGCCAGGGGCGCGTACGAGCTGCTCCGAGAGCTTTTCGAAGTTGGAACTGCGCTCGGTTAATACTCGGCCACGGCGAACGGTCGAGTACTAATCCGACTGTAATAATGGTGTACGCGCTCGCGAGGTCTCGTCGCGTCGAACCTCGCGTTCGCTTTCAAACTCGTTATACGATTTTTAATACATTCAGCGGCCGTGCAGCCCGGGAGTGCATCGTTTCCGCCGCTCTGTGGAAGTCTGCTCGCGCGAATTGCCTCGCGGGATCCATCGTTGTCCCGCGTTTCGCGCGCGGATCAAAATTGCAGGGCCTCGTTCCGCGGGAAGACGAGCGGCAAAGGGACCAGGGAACAGAGGGGGAAGAGGGGGCACGGCTGGGAATACGCTGCGAGAGAAAATCTTGCGGCTGCTCGCGTTAATTTTCGTGCTCGTCGACCGTGCTTCGTCCGCCCCATCGCTGACACGGATTTACTCGCAAGAATTTTATGTATTACGGTTAGCCCGTTCAACCGGACGAAATAGATAAATAGTACTCTGTTTTCTAGAGATTTTTTTAAATCTTGGAATCGTACAATAGAGAACTGTAGTATCGAGATACAGTTGAACCATGCGTGTTAACCCTTTGCACTCCTGTGTCGAATGTGACTCGACGTCAGTTTTTATCTCAGCAGCTCCAAACCAAAGAGATATTGTTAAAATAAAGGACTAGTTTATTTCTTAGGCACTAGATACATGTACTTTCATTGCCCGCTGAGAATGTTCGAGTTACAAATGTTTGATTTTGTCTGGAATGTTTCGTTGCGACGAGCGACCGTCCAATTACATATTTTCATGTCTCTTATATAAATTCATATTTTGTTCGTTTTGTGTCTAAGTTTGTTATTTTATATCCTGACCTCATCGACAGATATCGTGCACTTGAAAATTACAAAATACAGCAATACTGTAAGTAAAACAGATATTTCATCAAGTTTGTTTAAATTCATCCTACTTTTTAGTAGACGTGAATTTCAAATAAAACACTTCAAGGCGTTGGAAGCTGCTGATAACAAAATTCAAATACAATTCGAAGTGCAAAGGGTTAAAGTAGCGGTGTTAAGGGGACCAGTCAAATCGAGTCTATGAGATTATGTTTGAATCGTGTAACCAGCAGTTGATATAGAACAGAGTGGAGTAGGTGAACGACAGAATCGAACGCTCTTTTGTCTTTCTCGCGTCGTGGATCCGCAAAAGTTCCGGGCAGAACGTTAGAACATTTTCGTAGCAGATGCGCATCGCGAAATGATTAATCGATGTTTACGACGCAGCCGGCACGAGATAGTGGCCCGGTTCATAATGCGTTGCTGCCCGAACACCGGCAAACGACAGTGAAGAATTGCAGCTAGGATGTTAGGCGTACCACGGTGAAATTTACACGATGCATTACGGGTTCGTCGCGGGGATCTCGCGACGCCCTTTACGAGAATTCTCTCAATTTTCCCTTGATGATCGGTATCGAGAATGGGAGACGTACGTCCCAATACCCGCCATTTTCTTTGTTTTAACCCTTTTAGTGCCCAACGACGATATATCGTTCCGTATGCAATGGTGCCTTATTCTTCTCAAAAAGAATTTGTAAAACATTATAAGGGGTCTAATTTTATTGCAAAAGCATTTAAAAAATTATTTTTGGGTTTACTTTGTGGCGGAAACGTATGTATTCCGGAGTCGTCATATTATACAGGGTGTTCGAAATTTCATGTTTACGTTTAAAAAATCATAATTTCTGAACGGATTGGAGGATTTTAAAATTTCAAGAAGCAATCAACGCGTATTTTAGTGAAGAATATGTAGAAATTGTGAGAATCTTGGAAAATTTATTCCTCAAGCCCGTAAATTAAGAAAAACCCTATAAAAGTGGTCCAATCTTTAAACGACCATAACTCCTATAATAGTGAATATATTTCAATGAAATTTATTTCCGAAGTGGAGCTCATGGATACCTACAAAAAAGTATTAGACAAAATTCCCGTACAATGTCAAACAAATTTATTAAAAATCAAAAACGAATTCGTATGAAAAATCGACAGGGGGTAGGTGCCTAAATTTTTCGGCGAAAATGAAAAATTTCGAATCATTCTAAAAAAATTATATTTAGTTGCAGGGGTAAATTACAATCAATTTCGGTCATTAGACATAGTCCTGTATTCCTATCCACTTTCGAGAAAAAAATTCGAGTAGATGTGAAATTCTTCGAAAAAATTAAAAGTTTTCGAATCATACTAAAAAAATTATATTTAGTTGCAGGGGTGAATTACTATCAATTTTGGTCAATAGACATACCCTCGAAATCCTATCCATTTTTGAGAAAAAAATTCGAGTAGATGTGAAATTCTTCGACAAAATTAAAAGTTTCCGAATCATTCCAAAAAAATTATATTTGGTTACAGGGGTCAATTATAATCAATTTTGGTCATTAGACATAGTCCCGAAATCCTATCCACTTTTGAGAAAAAAATTCGAGTAGGTGTGAAATTCTTCGACAAAATTAAAAGTTTCCGAATCATTCCAAAAAAATTATATTTAGTTGCACGGGTCAATTACTATCAATTTTGGTCAATAGACATACCCTCGAAATCCTATCCATTTTTGAGAAAAAAATTCGAGTAGATGTGAAATTCTTCGACAAAATTAAAAGTTTTCGAATCATACTAAAAAAATTATATTTAGTTGCAGGGGTGAATTACAATTAATTTTGGTCATTAGACATAGTCCCGAAATCCTATCCACTTTTGAGAAAAAAATTCGAGTAGGTGTGAAATTCTTCGACAAAATTAAAAGTTTCCGAATCATTCCAAAAAAATTATATTTAGTTGCACGGGTCAATTACTATCAATTTTGGTCAATAGACATACCCTCGAAATCCTATCCATTTTTGAGAAAAAAATTCGAGTAGATGTGAAATTCTTCGACAAAATTAAAAGCTTTCGAATCATACTAAAAAAATTATATTTAGTTGCAGGAATCAATTACAATTAATTTTGGTCATTAGACATAGTCCAGAAATCCTACCCACTTTTGAGAAAAAAATTCAAGTAGGTGTAACATTCTTCGACAAAATTAAAAGTTTCCCAATCATTCCAAAAAAATTATATTTAGTTGCAGGGATCAATTACAATCATTTTTGGTGAATACACATACGCCTGAATTCCTATCCACTTTCTAGAAAAAAATTCGAGAATGTGTGAAATTTTTCAACGGGGAAAAAAAAAATTTCAAATCGTTCTGGAAAAATTATTTTCATTTGTGGGAGTCAATCACAATCATTTTTGGTGAATAGACATACCCTCGAAATCCTGCACGTTTTCGAGAAAAAAAATTCAGTGCGGACTTTAAACGTTAATAACTTTTTAACAAAGCCTCGTCATATTTTGAATTGATTATTTATTAAAAAATCATTGAAAATCAAATACTTGTACTTTATGCTACGTGACCTACATAAAACTGTGATCAAACAATTATTCTTATGTGTAAATATTGTTTGTAGAAGAGAAACTTGTTTCTACGTTTTTTATCATATTTTATAATTATGTTATTTATATGATTTGCAATAAATATTGAAATGCAATTGCCGTTACTTTATTCTTTCTTTATTTCGTAATATGCAGCATTTTGAATTTTGTAAATATCATTCTTAGTTTGATTTTCATGAGCTTTTTCTCTAACCTTCAAAAGGGTTAATATTAAACAGGAACTTTGGTGCAACCATTTTTTTCTATTTAAAAATAACTATAAAGTTTCCTTGCTTCTATATCAGCCACGTAAATTTTCATTCGTTCCCGGAGAAACGATCCCAGTCGCCGCATAGATTAAACAATTTGCCCCCGGGATTAGGTTAAAATTCGAATGGGGTTAAGATCAGAGGGAAAGTTGAAAAGAAGATACGGGGACAACGCGTAACGGGAACGAACGACGGAGGCTTTATAAAAAGGAGCGCCTTAAGCTCTTCCGTAAATCCGACGGTTTCTCGTTGTTCACGGGCCGGTTCTCGTCTTAGCGGCAGTCCGCGATTTGCATACCAAAGACTAATCCGTGCGTTGGAACTCGATTGAAATGAAAATGTACGCGCGGAGAAAATGATATTCGCGCGCGGCGAACAAAAGCTTTGAACGGCCGTAAGGTTTCGAAAGTCGATGCCGAGAGGGTTGGGACAGAGACGAACCAACCCCCCCTGTAGGCTCGCGTGCACCGTGATTATGCGCATAACGTATCCCAGGGGGGCTGACGAACGTTCTCTGATTTGTTGCAGCGACAGCGGCGTGGCCGAGGCAGGAGCAACCGTGCCCGATCGCCGGAGACTTCTGCATGAACGGCGGTACCTGCCTGTTCTTCGAGACCGTCGGTGAACCAGCATGTAGGTAAGCTCAACGACATAATCTCTATTTGCCCATTGGACTATATTCATTCCTCGGTGGAACGAAATTAAAATTATATCGTTGTAAAACATTAGAACTTTTACGAAAGAAACGGAGTTCTGGCAACTTCGTCTCTGTCGATGCTAGTTAAGGAAAATTCTGCATCATCAGATATGATCTGACAACCTTGTATTTAATCTGTGTTCCAAGAATACCGACGTATCGATTTTCGAGGCGACATTTTCGTTGCAAAAGGTTCGCGCTTCCCGTTAAAATAACGAGCATCTAAAAAAGTCCGTGTGCGTGTGTAGCTTTTGTGCGTGCGCGACGAGTTCAGGTATATGGGCCAGGGTTATGCGGAAGCATCTCCGACGTGGAAAAAAAGAAGCGAAAAAAAAAAAAGAAAAAGCATCTCGAGAGGTCGCCGGCGCGAGAAGCACCGGGGATATTAGAGGGTGAACTTTATTCTTTCTTTTTCCTCCCCCCCTCCCAGCCTCATTTTCGCTCCTTCGCGTCCTTCCTTCCTTCCTTCCGGCCCGGGGGATACACCCAGAAGGGTGAACGCCGGCTCGTTCCGCTTTAATATTCTGCTTTTTATCTGCATTATCTGGCACGAGCGGGCGTTATCGTTGCGCGTCAGCTATTCGACCCTGTCGAATTACCGCCGCTCGAATCCCCGAAAACCCCTCCGTTGCCGGACGATCCGGAAATTCGCGTTTCAAATATTTCGTCGATCGGTGGCGACGATACCCCGGAGCACGCGTGTCGCATATTTCTCCCGTCGCGGTCGTTTATCTCTCAATTACGCTGCGACCGGGGCAGGCCTCCGGACTACGAAAGGAATTCGAGATTGCCCGCGTTGCCCGGAAAATCCTGTTTTCCGCTTTCAAAGGCCCCCCCCGATTTCACGTCGATATCTTGATCGTACACGGTTTCAAACGAACGGAACGTATAAATTAACGGTGAACTAGCCAGCCGATTGGAATACTTAGGCAGACCACGATCGGTATCGCTAATGGATTGAAACTTTGTAAAAGGACGTCGAGACCCGTTGGAACGTTGCAAATAATTATCTCGAGTTTCAAAAGCGTCGATAGACGTCGGTACCAAAGCGCGAATGGTTCGATTTCATTTAGAAGTAAAATTAGCGAGTTTGTCGATCGATGGCGACAGAAAGAAAAGAAAGGAACCTTCCTCGATAACCCGGCATCTGACTCCGACGTGGTAAATGGCTCGTCTGGAATCACAGGTTGCACAGGTGGAGTCGGGAATTGAACGGATGGAAGGATGCGGGATGAAGTGTCTCGAGGTACGAGATTTACGAGCGTTTCTGCACCGAGCGCGCGCGGGTCGGCTCGAAAGCTTTGCATTCGCCGTGTATTTTGGTGAAGTGCCGCGAGGCTGCAACGGGGGATCGTCGGTGATCGGAAAGGGGTGGTTTCGGAGGGTCGACGGGAACCCAGGACGGGTCCCAGCTGCGATAAACTGGATGCTCGATTCGCAGTCGCGACACCGATTTCGCGTACGGATCCTCCGAGAGCGCAGGAATTTCGTCGATCCGTTCTGAACCGGGTCGAGCATCTCCCTCGTCGCTGGATCGTCTCGATCGGTACGATCCAGGGGATCCCGTATTCGCGTTCGCGTTTCGCGTTTCGCAAGCGGCTTCCGGCGCTGGCTCCGGCCTTTTATTCGCGATTTCGCGCGGGCTTATAGCGAGTTTATCGGGATCTCACGGTCGCGGGAGGAAATTTATTCCGCGAGAAGACGGGAGCCACGCGGGAGGATCCATAAATCGAGGATTCCCGGGGGTACGGGGGCCCCGTGATTTATTATGAACAACGAAAAGAAATAGTTTTCGAGCACCGTCCGGGAAAGGATGGAGATCCGCTTCGGCGGCCATTTATTAGCGACGCGACTCCCGAGCCGCGACGAGCCTCGCGTATCGGGGTCCAGCGAATTCGCCTCGATACGAGTTTATCTGCCGTGGGAATACGAGTCCGGCGACACCGGGAATTCTTATCGTTGGTCGCTATCCACCCTTGGCGGTCCGTAAGCCCGGATGTCCCCGACAGGCTCGCCGGATACTGTTTACGCCCGATATCGGTCCAAGAATTATTATCGAGGGCTCAGGGAACGTTGCAACAAAGACAACTTTCGTGGTCTTAAGCTTTCCACTGTCTAAGAACAGAGTACAATTTTACACGCGTACAGTTCCGTACACTACTGATGCTTTATCGATAATTAAGCCACTGTTAGAAGCGGCAAGGCCTCCCCTTTAAAATGGTTGTTGGTTTTTGTCGATCCGACTTTCCGTTTTCGAGATATCGTAATTTATATGAAAGGGTAATTCTTTAAATTCCACTACTCACGTTCAGTCTGCCTTAGCGCTGCCTATTAGCGCGTATTAAAAATATTAAAACTTTGGACGCGCGCAGTTCCGAAACTACTCGTGCTTTGTCAATAATCGAACGATTGTTAGAAGCGGTGAAGCTTCCTCTTTGAAATGGTTTTTGGTTTTTGTCGATCCGACTTTCCGTTTTCGAGATATCGTAATTTATGTAAAAGGGTATTTTTCTCAATTCGACTATCTCTGTCTCCGTCTGACGCGTCGCGTCGGGCCTCTCTCTCGCGCTTCAGTCGAGACAGTCACGTGACCAGGAAGTCGTAGTATCTCTACTACGCACGCGAGTTCATTGACCTCGCGTCAATGAACGTAAACAAACGCTTCGCGGACCCTCGTATCTCCGTAACTAGCCACCGCGTCGACTTGAAATTAAAATCGTCATATCTCCGGAACTAAGTACGCTATCGACTTGTTCGAACGCTCATTTTAAAGGACATTTCATCCTCTATCCAATGAACGTAACAACAATTATTATTTATGCTGTCTTCCATGTTTATTTTGAAGCTTACTTTGACTCTATGTACCCAAAGAACTGATGTACGATAAAACTACATTATAAATTGTTTTCTTACTTGAAAATGAATTTAAATTTGTATACTGAATGTTCGTATAATTACTAGCATTTTTTCGTAAATAACAGTTTTTTCTGGAACTAACTATGGTGTCGACTTGAAACAAAACTCATTTTCAAGAGCACGAAACGTAGGTATATTAAAACACCTATACCACGAATTCCAATGGTTTAATGACTATCAAAAGACTTATCGCCCCCGTTGAAATCACCGTTTCTTCTTTCCGACGTTTCCAATCACCGATGTCGCCGATTCCCGTTTCCTTATCGAGGGCAATTCACTTCACGATCGTTGGAAACGCACACACAATACCATTCACGCGCGATACCCCTCCGGGGTCACTCTAAAGCATAACTCGGGCGGGACACGCGACTCGACAATGCCCCCACGAACGCTCATTTGTCCATTGTCCATTCTTCTGCTCCCCTTTTTTCCTTTTCCCTCTCAACCCTTGTTCCTCCGGGGACGACCTGATTCCTCGATAAAGCCAATAAACCCTCGTCAACCGGTGGCAGTGCGGTGTTCGTCGGGGTCCGACCGTAGACCGCAACGTTTCCCTTTGCTCCTCGTCCTCTTTCCATGCCAAGCCTCCCTTATCCCGGCCCTCCCGAGGGTCACCTTTATCCCCGGATCGGCTCGTCCCACGAATTTATTTAACGAGTGGCTAATCAACGTCAAAGTGCACCGACAAAAAGACCACCGTGGTCCGGGAGCTTTTTTTACACGGGGATCGTATCCGCGAACTCGGCCGTTTCCGGTTGATTCCCGATGCCGTTCGAGGTACGTGGCTCGACGAAAAACGATCGAACGAAAGTTGATTCCATGTACCACCGATGACAATTATTAAATATGTACGTCGAGCAGTTTATTCGATATTTTTATCCACGCAAGGATTTCTCCGATTTCCGATTCCACCGTGCACGTTGAAATGATGTTCGAGAAAAACTGTCGTTCGCGTTTACCTCGGTATCGGCGTCTTTTTATCCCGCCCAGGGTCCTCTGTGATTTTTAACCAGGTTGACGTTGGAACAAACTACGGTGCGCGGGGAGGCAAAGGAAAAACGTACGAAACGGCGTGTTCCGTCACGGTCGATCGAACGACTAATCCCGTCGGGCGAGAGACCGATCATCGAGGGGCGGAAGTTTTTCAATTACACCCCGTCGATCGATCGAGGACGGTCGAGAAATTTAATTTTCGTAAGAAACCGTAAAATCGCGAAACGTGCTCCGACCGAGGTGGCGAATTTTTTGGACGCGGGGCGCCGGAGAGGGCGGTAAAACGCGCGAACGACGCGTAAAAACTGAACGGTCGACCCGAGTCGCGGGGGGGATTTTTTTCGATAAAATCTGGCGAAGAGGGTAATGATTCGCGTCAGGCCCATTCCTACGGAGGGTTCGATCGACGATCGAATCGCTCGCCAGAAGAAAACCACCCTCGGTTCCCTGAAACGAGGAAGGTGGACGAGACCGGGGAGACGGAATATGCGATCTAAGCAGTAAATAACTGAAATTGCAGACGAGGGTGGCTCGGTCTAATTCCTGCCACGGGCAAACAGTTTGATTAGCGGAAGTCCGGCGCACCCCCGGAGAGATCGATCCTTTTCCTTTTCGCTCTATCTTGCACGGGAATCTGGAACAGAGTGGTAGAATCGTAACAATATTTTTTCGAAAAATTTTATGAATAGTAAGACATAAAAGATACATTTAATTATTAATTTATTTAAAATTAAAGGAATCGAAGATCACCGAAACAATTGTTTGCAATATCGAGATTAAGATTGGGGGAGCGGAGAAAGAGAAGTAAGAGTTCGATAAATAAGGGAAATAAAACGACACGCAGGGAGAATCCCGGGGGAATAAAATGTAAGAGAAATGGTGGGCGAGGTGTTCCGTTTAATGGATGGCGGGCAAGAGCGCAGCGAAAAGGGGTTGGAACGTAGGAAGACGAAGGATAAGTGGTCGAGAGGTCAGCGGAGTCTCGGGGCTCCACGAGAATCGGCAACAAACATCCCGCGAAACCTACTCCA